GGGGGGCATAGGGGGAAGGAGAGAACAACGAAACAAGACTGTCTGTGCAGGACAAGAGGAACCAAGGGAGCGGGCCGAGAGCAAGAGGGAGGAGGGGGCAGACACGGACGCAGGAGATAGGCTGGCCAGTCAGAGGGAGCAGGCGACCGCAAAAAGCGACGGCCTCAAGCGGCTCATCTGTGGCAGGTGAAGGCGCCCCAGCCAGTCCCTTGAATTCGGATGAACGGAAGGAACCACAAAAGTAATAACCGAGGTAAACAGGTATTAACAGGTTGGAAAAGCAAAGTGAGAACCAAGGAAAAGCAAGTATTAAGAATAATACGTGACAAAGGTCGGTATTAAGAATAATACGTGACAAAGGACGGAAGCACGCATGCACAAAAGAGTGAAAATCAGAACAAAGAGAAGGAAGGAACACGAAAACCACAGGAGACAGTTAGGCAACAAAACACAACACCTTAGGCAGGGAGGCAATCAGCACCATGAGAACATTGATCAGGAAGCAACGCGGCCATAGGCGTCTGGACTCCATGCTGTTTTATAGCGGGGCGATGCGGCAACTGACGGATCAACATCTCCGTCAGGTGAGATGGGCCCAACAGAACCAACCCCCAAGTTCCGCCAGCCCCCCACCGCTCTGCCAGGAAAGGAAGCAGAGCGATGGCGCTTTGCCACGGATAGAAGACATAAACATGGGGGTGTTGACGGAGGAGGAGAAGGAAATGGAGCATCAAAAGAGGGTTATGCAGGAAGGCAAGGGTGCCTGCTCCGCCCAGGAGCAAATGAAACCCGTGCCGCAGCTTACCTGGGCAGACAAGCTCAGGAATCCCCTCCAAGGCCAGGCCCTGACCATTCAGCGTGGTCAGGGCAGCCCGGGGACCGGGAAGCTTGAGATTCCCCTAGATGGGCTACCGCAGGCACGTGCATTCTTCATGACCAAATTTCTGCTCCCATCTGAAACAAGGGTTGTAACCCAAGGGGGCAAGCAAGTCATGGTGAAAGCCTACCCCAACCACGGAGTTGAAAGCAGGGACGAGATCTATACAAAGCACGCCAGCAATTGGGTGTTTCACGATGATGCGGCCTTCAAGTCTGTAAACGATAAAGCCAGATGGATTGGTCGCCGGCTTGAAATCTTGAAAAACAGTGCTGATCTGGCCCGCGATCACTTTCTGGTACAGCCAGTGACAAATAACGTATTCACCGTCTTAGCCCTGCATGAAGCGGACAAGAAAGAGATGGATGGATGGAAGAGGCTTCGCTGTGAACGATCGAAGGTAACGATCCACCCGTGGGTACCGCAGCGTAGGCTGGGACCGGAGGAGAAGAGGGCGCAACTGATGCGGGATTTCCACTGGGTTGAATTCCGTCAAATCCCGGTCGAAATCCAGGCGGCCTTTGTATACGATTTCGGCTTGCTTTATGATATCGTTGCCTTCATTGACCCCCTTCCCTCTTACGTGGCTAAGAGGGACGATTATCTGATGCTGGCTCTGGACTTCCCCCCGGGCCAGCCCTTCTCCCTAGACGATGTAATTCCGTATCGAGTGGGGGGGAAAGAGTATCTGATACACACACTGCACACAAACTGCGACCATGGTGCCATAAGTGTAGAATATATGGGCACCTGAGCAAAGATTACGGTTGCCCTCTGCACCCGCAAAAAAAAGAGCGAACGACCGGAAGACTGCTGAGAGACCCACTCAAGAAGTCATACTGGCGAGCGGTCGATCCGGGGCACGAAGGGTGGGTATTTGTGGAGGACTGCACAAAAGAAGGGCATCCAGTGGGATGGATTTGGGAGAGGAAAGGGGAACCAGAATGGGAGACACGGCCCCCAGATACGTGGGTTCCCCCGACTCCGGTGGAGGAAAAAGTCCAGCAGATTCAACCGAACCCTCTGAGAGAGAACCCCGAGGGAACAGACAGGAGGCAAGGGGGAAAAAAAGGGGGGAAGGGGACTTGGGTTCAAAAACAGCAACCCAGACCGGGGCAGGAAGAGAAGGAGAAGGGGAAGGAGGAAGGGGAAGGAAAAATGGTCTCGCGAGTGCTCCCGGGCCCGGCAGCGGCATCATACATCCCCGGGGGAGACAAGGGGACAGGTGAAACAAGCAGCAGGGGCGGGGTGACGGAGCAACAGGGGGAGGGAAATGGGGCGGGACAGGGACCGAGGGTGGGAGACACGGGGGTACGGCTGAACTGGCAACGCGGGAGAGGCTGGGCGATGCCGGGGGGGGGGGTGCGGCCGACACCGGGGGGCTGTAGGGTGCTGGCAATATGGTAATGCAGATTGAACAAGGGGGGGGAAACGGGGAGACGCGACGGGGGTCGGGCGAAGAAGTGGGGAGGCACGATGTTGTGTCAATGGAGATCGAGACTACGCACGACAGTCCCACTGCGTTGCAGGGTTCGGGGGGTGGGGAAATGGAGGTGGTAGCGGGGTGGAAAGGACCAAGGGAGGAGGTTCAGATGCAGGAAGGGGGGCTGCAGGAGGACCAGATGGTGGAAGTGGACCCCTTCCAACCTGCTTTTGACCCGGAACCAGTGGAAGTTGACCCGCTCCCGACAAATGTCGGTGCAGTGCTAGAAGGGTTACCATGTGAGGAGGGAGAGAAGGAGGGGATCCCGCCGCAGCATTTGCCTGTAGAGCAGAAACTGGTTGATATTGCGGACTGGCTGTTGACTAACCTCAAAGCGAAATACGGCCCTCTCACAGACGACTTCTGGGACAGAACGTATTTGGAATTGTTTCCCATGTTGGACATGAGCGCTGCGCTTAAAGGCGTCCTGGAAAATGGGCTGCAATGTGGTCTTAAGTGGACGGAGGTGTGGCACAGAGTGGCCTCCATCGTATTAGCAAGGTTTCAGCCGCCCCCTGCATCACACCCAGCAGCAGCGGAAGAGATAAAGGTAAGCAATCAGACCGAGGGGTCGATCCTTCAGTCACCAGTCTTGCCACCGGGCCCGGCCCCCTCGGACCTAGACGAGGACGCACCGCTGGACCTCGTGAGAAGAAGGAAATTAAGGCATTTGATAGAGATGGGCCAAGACACGGGGCCACTGTCACAAGAGGCGACGCTGCTACTCCCAGTTCGGAAGAAAAACAGGAAATGGGAGGTTGGCCTGACACCGGTTGATCATGGCAAAATGAAAGGAGTTACACTGCAAGGGTGGTCCTCCTTCTGGGCGGGACACTGCAGATCTGAGGCAGCAGCTGGCATCTTTCAAATGCAGCTGGAAACGCACATTGCAGAGTTTATGCCCCCTGGAGCACAGGCCACTGCCCCCCTGGTAATAGAACCTAATAGAGCCTCTCAAAGAGACACCCTCATCCGTTACGACCCGGACAAGGATGCAGGCCTGAGATGGTTTACCCCCCCAGAGCTGCTTGACATGCAAACAGTTAAGACCAAGGCCAGCGAGGTATGGACAAAACAGGATGTTCTAAAGCTTTTGTGTGCCCTCCTCAGGCTGGGTCTCCGAGCAGGGGCCGCGGACTGGGATTGGGATCAGCTGTCGTGTACTAGACTGTGAGCATCTGATAGCCACAACCAATGAACCCGGTCAAAGCGGTATACGGTAAGGATCACGTCTGGAATCAATGCCGTAGGGCGGCGGATCTCGACCTGCGGTCACTAAACGTAAATGGCCTAGCTTCGTGTAGAATGGAAAAAAGGAATGCAATATGGGATCTGATGAGAGGGGTGGGAGTTAGGGATTGGCCGGATGTGGTATGCATCTAAGAGACCCACCTGACAGACTCCCCAGAGCATGATCGTATTCACAAAATGATTTGACCGTATAGGGCTTTTAGAGCCCATGCTCCGAGGCCCGGGAGTGCGGGGGTGGCCATCTGGTTTCCCCCCGACTCCCGGGCAGACCCGGTGCATTGGGTCGTGGACCAGGAAGGGGGCAGATGGGCGTCGGTTCTAGTCACCCTGGAATTGGAGATCGTATGTATACTGTGTATCTATGCCCCTAATACTGTGACCGAAAGAAGAGCCTTTTTCGAGGAACTCAAAACACAGATACCGGACAGAGTCCCGATTATTATAGCAGGCGATTACAACGCAGCCCCAAACCGCTGGATGGACAGATGGCGAGTTCCCTCCCCGGCCCCGGCATACGTGGAGGAGGACGAGCGGATGATAAGAGACCTAAGTCTCTCCTTAAATGCCTTTGACTCCTTCCGGCGGCTTAACCCGGACATGCGCTTTTTTTCGTGCCTGCGCAAGACCGGGACCGATAATCAGACCAGGTCCAGAATCGATCTGATCCTACTTTCAGAGGATCTGGTAGGGGCTATGCTGCTTGCAACAATACTACCGGCTAGCCCCTATCCAGGACTCGATCACAAGATGTGCACAATAGCCTTGTCATTCAGAAAGAAGCCTGATCATGGACCTGGGTTCTACAAACTCAACGTTTCGATCTTACGACACGAAGCTTTCCGACACTATATCAAAGACTGCTGGACATTTTGGCACACACAGAAGCAACATGTCCCACAAGGAATATAATGGTTCAATAATGGGCTTTTTTTCCTAGGAAAGAAATGTCAAGAGTACTCTAAACAATTAGCAGCCAGAAACCATCAGCAGGAAATGAACATCCACTTACAACTTCATCAACTTGAGCAACAGGATAACAACCCACAACAGGAAAATAGCCAGCACGCTCAACCGGAGGAACACTCAGAGACACAATCGGACAAACACTCAGAGACACAAATCTTACAACAGCGCCTCCAAACCTTTGCCGCACAACGTTGGGAAGGTATTCGTATCAGAGGGCGACTAACATGGCACCAAAATGAAGGCTATATGGACAAAACGTTTTTTAGTCTGGCTCGGGCGCGCATGCRCAGAACAACGATAGAAGCGCTWTATGACCCACATTCAACACCCAGGGATGTGGTCTGTTCTACACCCCAATGTATGCGGATAGCAAGGTCCTTTTTCAAGGACCTATTCACGTCCAGGTGTGCGCATCAGGAGAAGACTGTTAGAGAAAAGGAAATTGAGGAATTCCTAGAACCACTGTGTCAAGCTCTTTCGTACCAGCAAAGGATAGAACTGGATCGGCCGCTGTCCAAGGAAGAAATTTGGACTGCAATGATGCAGATGGAGAATGAACAAAATCGGGTGCGGATGGGCTTCCCAAGGAATTTTGGGAAACCTTTTGGACCCAGATGGCCCCAGACCTCATGGATTTCTATAACATGGTGTGGGAGACCGGAAACATGGGGGAGCTGGTGGGACAAGGGGTTCTCACATTGCTGCATAAAAAAGGGGATAGGATGGATATTAGAAACTATCGGCCGATAACACTGCTCACAGTCGTATACAAGATGCTTGCAAAAGCCCTGGCGAACCGGTTGATTTCGGTGCTGGATCAGATTATCCACCCGTCCCAGACAGGTTTCGTCAAGGGTCGCAGGATTCAGGACAACATTCTCCTGGTGAACGAACTGCTCAAGCTAACCAGACAAGATAAGCAAAATGCGGCGGTGGTCTTCATAGACTTTGAGAAGGCCTACGACCACGTGGACTGGCTGTTCCTGGACCGATGCATGGAAAAAATGAATATAGGCCCAGTTTTTCGCCGTTGGACTGAGATCCTGCACCAGAATGCCACCATGAGCGTCCAAATCAATGGCAGACTGGCACCGGTATTTCCTCTACAACGGTCGGTCCGCCAGGGAGATCCCCTGGCCCCATTCCTGTTTATAATAGTAATGGAAGCATTGACAACAAACCTCCGTGCTAATAAAAATCTAAAGAAGCTGCAGGTCTCAGCCATTCCGGAAGAAGCTATTCCTGTCAGTTCGATGTTTGCTGATGACTTGACACTCATGATGGATGCTACATGTGAGAACATGGAAGAGATCAGGCGACTGTTTGATAAATTCATGACGGTTTCGGACATGACAGTGAACTGGGGCAACAAAACCCTTGGGTGGTGGATACACCACCAAGGGGCGCGCCCCCCCGAGCTGCCGCAGGTTAGATGGCTCCCGGAAATGGCCTTAGTCAGAGTCTTAGGAATAATGTTGACGGCAACAGGGAAACCGGCATCGAATGATGAGTGGATTCTTAAACCGGCCCTGGAGAAGCTGGCGCGTTGGAATGACAAAAATACCTCCTTAATCGGTAGGGCCTTAGTGATCAACAATGTGGTGCTGGCCGCTCTTTGGTACAAATCTGCAATATGGGCGCTTAGCAAAGAAGCGATACGGTCCCTCAAACGACAAATAACGGCATTACTGCGGCGGGGTAACAACGAACTTACCAATGTTATACATAGAGTAGCCTGGACGTCGGTGATCCAACCCAAGGACAGAGGGGGCTTGGGTATTTTGGACCCTGACACTCAGGTCACAGCGCTAATGATGCAGTGGATCAAGCGTCTGGTGTTCACCTGCGACCTCCCATGGCATGCCCTGGCGCTGGAACAGCTTGCCCGACTCGCCCCGCCAGCTCCTCGAACAATAAACCCTCTGTCTTGGCTGGAAGACCGCTTTTGGACCTTGCCTAGACGCCCCCGTGCGGGCCAGGACCCAAACAGGGATACAACCCGCAGCGATCTTGTTAAGGACGATTTTTGGATCCGCTGCCTGAAAGCCTGGCGTCAACTTCCGTTGCCAGACAAAACTGGGCCAACCCGATGGGAGGAGGTGGCTCGACAACCCCTGTTCGGGAACCGAAGTATCACAGATCGACACGGAAGGGTCTATCGCAGCTCCGACCCCCCGTGGAACAGCTGGGTCAAAAGGGGTATAACCAGAATTAAGGACATCTGGGACTCAGAGAGCAAAAGCTGGAAGATAGGGCCCCAGATGAGGCCGCTGCTGAAGCACTGCCATAATATAGAAGGCCACCTGGAGGCGTTGATTTTCGTGGTTCCCCTGGGGTGGGTGCGCATTTTACGAAAAAGGCCCAAAGCTGATGGACGGGGACTGGGTGGCGGTCCCTGGCGATTCAGAGAGTGTGGGAAATGTAGTGATAACGCACACAGAGGAAACGCTGGTTAATCTCTTCCACAAAGAAAACGATAATAAATTAACCAAGTACACCCCGGACGTAACAAGATGGTATCGGAATGCAGATCTATATAGGATCCGRGTTCTACAGGATAAGKAGGCTTGCATAGTATACCAGCYWGGGMCCGRCATTRTGGATCTCCCCCTTGMCCCGGAGGAGTGGCARTGGTCCCCCGTGCGCAGAACCTTACAGGCACGGAATGTGAACYTCCAAAACCTGACAGTAAAAGCCACCTATCGTTTATTGCGCCCTAAGGTGAATCTGAAGGATATCRTTAAAAATCGGTGGAGATCCCAGCTGAATGTCGGGATTGATSCCATCCGCCCCATTCGGTGGTTCTCCCTCACAAGGGCCAAGCCAGCGAAGCTAGCCTCACTACAGTGGCAGATAGAGCATCGCTGTCTCCCTACTAACGACTGGCTAATAGATCGCACCTATCTGGAACAMAAAGGTCTGGCACTSCCGTGGTGCAAATCGTGCYACGCGGCATTCCCTTCTCGGAAGATCCCAGAAACCATCGAACACATTTTCCTGCAATGTCCGGGGTCAGTTCTCACATGGCGATGGTGGGACAGGATTTGGAGGATGCTGGGCACCGGTACAGACTGGCCATGGGACTGGAGGACGATCCTGTGTGATACACGGACCGCCACTGCATCCAGTACCTTTGAAGAGAATATGTTTAAAATAGGAAGGCGGGCGGTTATGTGGACGATCTGGAGGAGGCGTTGCATACATGTTATGGAGGGAGTCCGCATAGCCGGGGAGGAGATGACGGATATGATCAAACAATTCATACACCAAGAACTTATGACACAATGGCAGAAGGTAAAAAGTGTGCTGGATCCATGCCAGACCAAAAAAGAATCAGAACAGAAAATCCGACAATTTTCAAGGAACTGGCTGGGCGGCGCAGACGGAGGCCGAATTGCTTTCATCAAATGGGATGGGGGCCAAACTCCGGGAAACGCAGCAGGCAATCACGACGGCGACCTGGAGCTGTTCACTAAAGATTATCAGATTTGTTTTAGGGACTGGACAGCGGTGGGCCAAGAGATTCCGTTACGGCCACCATCGGATTTTCCCAACCCCTTCCCTCCCCATCAGTTGGCGATAGTAGACATGCAGTGGTATGGGGCAGAATGAGCTCCGCAATGATGGCAGAACTTTCTTGACATGTCTGTTTTATACAAGGGACGCTGGACCCAGTTTCCAGCAGGAGTTGCGGTTTACGACTTGGATGTAGGGGGAGCTAGGAAGAGAGAGCAGATATCTGGCACCAGGTGTAGGGTGAAGAGGCCCCCCATGCGACCTCCTGCTCAGTTAATCCCCTGGTCTCCAGGGTAATCAATGCTGGCAGGATCATACCATGCTTTCTCA